AATTATTGATTTATGGTCTAGCTCACAGTGAAGTGGTAAGTAGGGATTTAGTTAAATTACTTACTACCCTCTGATAGAGTATGAAGCTACAGGTAAATCATATTTAATTATTCCAGGACTTACAAACTCTTTAGAATCTTAAATCATAACATTAAACTGTAGTGTTGCCTCATGTTGTCATTGACCACTGCAAAAATAAATAAACCATTCAAACACACATTGTGATTAAAGAGTAGTGTGCATGCATTGTTGAATTAATCACTGAAATAACTTTGAAACTCAAATACTTGAGTTCTATAACACTGACTGTACCTGAAATATTTAATAGCATTTAGAATAAATGCATTTACTTCTTACATGGAATCTTGATTCTTTTTTGTTTAATGATGGAGAATTGTCCCTGGTTTTGCAGGCTTGTGCTGACCTGGTTTAGACACCTGCTGCCTTTGCCATGAAAGCAATGTTGTTGCCAGTGCCCAACATTGTTCAGAGAGATGCTGTGTAAGTGACTCTTTGCAGAGTGTGGGTTGGACAGATTTTCAGCCAGGTAACTTTGGAAGCATTGGAAACTGATACTGCTGATTTGAAGTTCTAGGGTCAGAACCTTTTGCTCACTGCTTCCTTAGATTGCTACTGTGATTTATCTGAGCATCCTTTATGGAGGGATGATTTCATGGATGTCCCCTGCCTTCTGCTTGTTTTGTTAGGAGCAAGAACTTACCCTGTAGTATCGGTGATCCTCTTTCAGTAAGTGATACAGTATGCATTCTGTTGCTTGTCTTTTTTTCTATTGAACTTTGTACTCTCCTGTTGCACAGTTCCTAAGGAGATCAATGTTGCATTTGCTCTGATTTCGATAAGGTTATCGATGGGTAGGTAGGCTTAAGTCAGTTACAGTTTGTTTTGAAGTGGTGTTTGCAGCTTAAATTCTTCCTTAACATAGATCTTAACTAAGGAAAAAACAACTCAAATTTATTAACTGATCAGCTTGAAGAACAACAGGCCAACTACTTTAAAATGTTATCTGATCCAATGCTTTGGTGTTTTGCAGCACTGTTGCTGCAAAGAGCTACTTGTGAGATTTCAAAAGTGGTTCTTCCTTAGGTCATACAGAGGACTAACTATAAAAAGATCAGTTGAGGAACTGAAGAAATTAGAGAGGTTTAGATTGATCTTTTCACCCCATCCCCTTGAAGGAAACTTGCTGCTGCACATGTTGTATTGGGTCTGAACTTTTGGTGCAAAATTAATGAGTGTTCTATAATTTAACAACATTTCAAGAGATTACTGAGTTTTGGCAATCTTCTGCTCAGGCTTCACTGAATAACTTCACATCTTCAAGAACCATCATGGTGATTTTAACAATTCTTTCACTTTATTAATATGTTTCTTTTGAGTTGTGATAAACTTGATATCACTGTTAGCAAGCCCTTAACCTCAAGAGTTGTCAGGAAGCTGTTGGCAGTAGTAAAGTCAGTTTCTAACCTAAGTAAGTGTAAATAAGGGATAATAACGAGGCTGAGTGAACATACTGAAGAAAGTGTGCTGGAGTCTTTTCTGCCTGCCGCAAGTGGGAAATGATATCTTTGTGGTGTGGTGATAAAAGGTGTGCATGAGGCACTGTAGAAGGAAAATACATTGAAAGGGAAATGACTTATGAGAGATGAAGAAAAGGAGGAAGAAACAAGAGATGAGTGAGAAAAGTCCATGGGTTAGGGGGGATGTGACTGAAGAAGCTGGAAGGTGAGAGTAGAGTTGGTCAGTAAAATTTTGTCATACTTTGCTTGTCTATACAAAGTAGTAACCAGTAGAGCAATTCATGGAAATATGCATAGATACATATTCATGCTAACTGCCTGAGAGCTTCTGGTAAAATATGGGTGGTGTTTAATGCTGTGGAAGTTGCATACCACTGCCCTCTGGGAGAGCTGGGTGACCAGGTAATGCAGCGCTTGGTGAGCCCCGTGTGTAGCAATCACTGCAGCGTTGAGTCATTATTTCTAAAAGCATTTACTGACCAGCACTGAGGGGAAAGGGAAAGGTGTTTGTTCCATGTCATTGCTCTGGTTTTATTTTTTTTCATCACAGCTGGTAGGCGTTTTCCAGAAAAATGAGCAAGTCAAAAGATAAGTAATTATCCTGATGCTTATTTATGTTTTAAGCATTTTTAATCTGTGTTCACTAGTTATAGTTCGTGGCTGCATCATAAGAGTATACACTCTCCACCAAAGTATAGCCTTACCGAGAATTAAAACATTAATGTTCCAGTGAAGACATGAAATCTGTGTTTCTAATTAAAAGTGTCCTCATTCAGAATGCCATTCCTTTAAGTGGAATTTGTCTAGTTCACACTTTTCACAGAAAGAAAAGAGCTGTTCGTCATTTGCACTGACAGTTACTCAGAAGCGTAACTGTCTCTTGTAGGAGACTGCATCACCAACCAATAGCATTGATGCCACAAAGCTAGGTCAGGACTTCAGTTGAATAACTGTTCTTTGCCACAACCTGATTTCCACTCTTGCATATGATGTACAGTCTTGTTTAACCTGTGAGATGCTATGGTTGCAAGGCAAAAGATGAAATTGTCTTTCATAGCTTCATAGTAATACAATTATAAATTCTGTAACATGATGTGTAATAAATGTCTTTTTCAGATGGTTGTTCAAATTACTTTCTTCCAGCTGTATTCTGCAGTGCTGGTTTTGCATGTTCCCATAAAGACATATTTAATTATTTTTTACTAAGAAGTACACTGCAGCTTGATGTTACTGTGTGAATTGTGTGGCTCTAGTTATTTTCTGTGCATTTCTTTTTGTCCCTTATAGGTGTATCCAGATGAGTTCTCATCCCAGGTTTGTTTCCTCAGATGGTGTTGATGGCTGTACTTAGATTTCCCTTGAGAATGACTTACTAAATTGTAAAGATGCTTTTCAAGGCATTTATACTTTATTAACCTGTTGCTTGGCCCACTTGAGCTGCACTAATTTGCACTGTCTTGGTTTTGATGTGACTTGCCTCTTCTTTTGACAAATTAAAGCAGTATTTGCTAATGTGGACAGCCTCACAGTTAGACCTGCCTAGGGGCAGTTCTTGCCTAATTGGCTAGCGTACTGATGGTGCAAGCTTATTAATTTCCAGAGGGATTTTGAAATTCATGTACTGTTTGGATTTTGACTTCTGGATACAGTTTCTAAATTTCTCAAAGACAGTAGCAATATTTGCTTGCATCAGTTCTGGAATAAACTCAGTTCAGACACTCCAAGAAAGATTTAATTTCATTTTGTTTTTAAGTAAGAACATGCTCATCATTCTTTGAGGTTTTTAAGCTATTAAAGGCTGCCTCAGACATCCTTTGCCAAAAAATTGCTGATGTGGAAGTGTTTGCTGAGGAAATACTACTGCATGCCTGGGGTTTTGGCTCTTTGTTTTTTTCTTTCTGCTTTGGATGCCTGTTTTGCTTGTGTGGGGCTTTTAGGAGTGAGAGTGAGGGGTATCTTCTGGAGGCACTATGATAGTGGAGGAATGTGGGGAATGGCTTGATTTAAGGCATCCTCGTCTGTGTCTCAGCTCCAAAAATCTGTTTGATCTAACTGGTACCGCCATTCCTGTACCATAGAGAAAGCAGTGGTGTGATGGGGTAATACCATGACAGCAAAGCTCTTACAACAGTTGCCAGAAGATCAACAGCAGAGCTTTAGAAAGCAAAAGCTTAGAAATAGGTCAATAGCAAAGCTCCAGTGGAACTATAATAAACATAACTGGCTCTGGCTGAGAGTGAAGTTTTACAGTTATTATCTTACCTTGTAATTTTGCAAGTCTGTCTTGCTCTGTATTTTCAAGTGTGCATCCTTTGTTCCTTCATCTTGAAACCTCATATCCTGGTTTAATTTGTTGGTTTTTTACTGTTCTAAATTGCCAGGCCCCAGTAATTTTTCTTCTGTCACATAAACTCACTTATCCATTAAATCCATTAAATTTAATTTTCATCTTTCCCTTTGCAATTCCTGCACCAACATGATGTAGGATTGCTTCAGGAGCAAAGGATCAACGAAATCACTTCAGGAAATGCATTTTGCGTCTCTGAGTCACGCTTCCCCAGTGTCAGTTTTCTGTTTGGAGCATCGTTTCTGTTCTGCCTCTCAGTGGAGACATATTTTAGATATCTTTGGAGCAAAATATAAATCTCTTGCCATGTGCAAATATCTAAATACTAATTTATGGTTCAATTCTTGGTTCTTTAAGTTATTTTTAGTCCTGGCTTCCTGAAGCTGTGTTTTCTACTGCTTGGAAAACTTCTGTGATACTTACATTGGTGCCTCAAATGATACCACTGTGATGATGATTATGTTCAATGTTGGTTTAGTGCTGTACAACTGTAGCTCCATTAGCATATATAAAAAATTGCCTTTGATTGCTGGTACCATAGTAACTACAGTAAAAATATTTGAGGATGGAAGTCTGAGCATATTGTGTCAATGTAGAAGTTAGGCAAGCACACTGATAAAGGTAGAGATGAGGGGTGATCAGAGTCAAAGGGGGGAACCACACTGACTATGCCGAAGAAATAACTGCATAGAAGGCTGATTTATATTCTGATTTCTAAATAACAGATATATTCTACACAAATGCTTATGGAGTGTCTGTGTGCGTAATGCTGATTCTTTTGTATTGCTCAGTTGTTCACTGCGTCTGTTCAATTCCTCTGGATTACTAGCCGTAAATGGAGGAGGGGGATTCCTAGTGAGAAGGAAGGAGATGGGTTTTAACTAAGGCTAAAATTAAACTTCATTTTTTTGGTGAAACTTGTGTAACATCAATGCACTGAGGACAACTGAGCATTCCTGAAAAATTCTGAAATGCATAAATCTGGAATTCAGACGAGGGGACAAAGTGTGCTTTGGTTTCTCAGGTCTGTAAATAAGCCCTAATAATAGAATGCAATATTTTCATTTGGTTTGGTTTTTAAATCTCAGTATTTTACTTTTTTTGCTATTTTAAAGCTTTCCTACAGTTGGAGAAAAAAGAACAAAAACTAACCATCGATCAGCCGTCTAAGGGAGCAAGAAAAAATTATTCTTTCACAAATGAAGAAGTAAGACAGATTGATCGGGAAAACCAAAGGTTGCTAAAAGAACTGTCCAGACAGTCTGCAAAGCCAAGAAGAAGTACCACGTTGAAGAAGTCAGCTGTACCGCCTCCTAAATTGTACCACAGTGCCCTCAACAGGCAAAAAGAGCAGCAAAGAATTGAGAGAGAAAACCTGGTAAGTTTTGAGAACTGATTTGGATCAGTAAATTGCGAACTATTTGTTGTCAGATGAACTACTGCCACACGCTTACAAAACTGATAAGGCAGCACTTGGAGCTTTACTGCAGTAAGTCTGCAATGAATTTCCATTACTGTGCTGCTTGCGTAATTGTTCGTATGTTTTGGGGCAAGAGGGAAATGGTGCTTTTACAGATGAAAATAGATTTTATTTTGTAAAGAGTTCGTTCTACTTTTAGTATCCTTCGATTTAAGAGGAGCAACCAGTACTGTGAACATGCTCATAACTTTGGATGGTAGGCTGACTCTTCGTCGTGCTTCATGCATCATGATTACTAGTCTCTCAAGAACAGCCTTGCAAAAAATAAAGCGATCAATATGATAGCATCAAACTCATTATATTTGAAACACAGAAGATATGATGTGAATGTCAGTTTTGGGTTTTCATTCATTTTATAGCTATCCATCTCTTTCAATATTTGTAGTGCTCTGCTTGCCACAGTATTTGAATGTAATAGCAATCACAATAACTTTAGTGGAAAACAGAAATTCAGACTCATAAGGATATTGGAAGAGTTGTCAAATAACAAAAATAACACTGTTTTGAATAAGATACTTTTAGTGATTGAATTGTAATACATATAATGACATTTTCATATCTCCTAGTTGTTCATTAGTGTGTCTGAAAAGGAGATAAAATATAGTTAAAATATTTGGAAAATTTAATTTCCAAAATAGTGGAAATAATTTATCCACTTTCTTCTTCTGTGTAAGTGTAGGTTGCAATTTCTCCATGTTTAATCTATATCTCTGTCTGTCTATATAAAAGGAAACTCTAATTGACCTATTCAGGAAAATCTATTAGGTTTTAGTTCTTCCAACTTTCAGACATCTATATTGTTAAAACTTTTCAAAGTAGGAAACTTTCTTCCCAGCTCCACTAGACTACAGTTGACCAAAAGAACATCACACACTGAAAGAGTTTGGCATAAATACTTGTTATAGATGTGTGATGCTCCTTGTTGTCTGGGGGAGAAATGATTTTAGGCTTTGGTGGTTTTGGGTTGGTAGAAGGGCTTTCTTCATGTGTTATGGGGTGCTTTTTTGTTGTTTTTTGTTTAGTTAAAATGTTGAAAGCAGGACTCGCCCTTCCACATGAACCTTGATAATAAGAGTGTATTCTTAGGTTGGGAGAAAGAAGAGCTGTGTCACGGTTATGATCTAATAGTAATATGTTGTACTATATAGCAGTAGATGATTACTGTAAATTAATGTATATGCTATTTTACAAGACAATTCTGTTTACTCAAATCCACAAACCTTTTTTTTTTTTTATGATATGTTGCAATATTTTGTCCAAGAATGTCTTGCCTTTGCAGCTTTTGGATCAAAAAATCAGAAACCTAAGCACATACAGTCATTTCACACGTTGCTGTTTTAGTATATGTTAGAGATTAATGGTGGTTGCTTGTAGTCTGAGAAATAATAATCTTTATTTACTTATACATTTATGGTTTAGTTGTCATCAGCAACATGAGTGGGCACGTTTGACATCAGAATCGTTCCTCAGAATTTATGTTAGGACATCATGATATTTTAGACTCTAAAAACATCTGGTTTGTTCTTTTCCCCAAATTTAGGATGATACATTCTGCTCTTTCTGGAAGAGTGATTCATCAGTACAGCTCTTATGCCTTTTTTTTTTTTTTTTTAACATTGCTGTCATTTCTGAGCAATTCTGTGTACTTTTTTATTCTGTTTGAAGTGTATGTGCACCTAGAACATCATGGTTTTAACATATCGATTTTTCTCACACTTCCTTTTGGGATTACAGGCATGACATGCTTTTCTCGGACTGTAATGAAAGAGCTGCCCTACCTTGCACACTGATGAGGTGGTTCTGCTTTATGTAGCTAAAAGCATGCACTTTTTGAATTTTTTTTTCTTCTGGTCAGCAGCTTTCTTCACCTTTGTAAACTGAAGAGCTGGAATTCCATGGAACTTCCTTATCAGTCTTTCTTCTATTAGTTGACATGATTTTAATTTTTTTTTCATACAAGGCCTGAGATACTACATACAGGATATGTTACTTGGTATACATTTGTGAAATACTGGTTGGAGGAGGATGCAGGGTTTTGTATATAATTCGGGACTAGAAATCTACAACAGAAGTCTGTGCAGGAGATTAGTTTTGATGCAGAGAGTTATTTCTTTTTTACCCCTGTTGGATTACAGCTTTTATAACTTCTTGTCCTGAGGTTAACACCTTGTCTAGGGAAAGCTTTCACTTGTTCCACTAGAACATTCTTAGAGTAATGCCTATGTTTACTGTTACCACAAGGACAGCTTGATTTCTGATGCAGGCACTTGGCATCAAAAGTGATGCCGGGAAAGTAATTAATAGGAAATTAGAGAGGAATCTGAGGAGTTTGATGTTCTCTGGCCTTGTGAAAGAGTGCAAAGAGGTACAGGGAATAGATGTTGCTCCCACAGACTCTGCTACAAGGAGATATGATGGAATAAAAAGGTGCATTGCTCTGAAGAACAGTAGTTATAAGGTAGTGATTAGCAATTTATGGAAAAAGCACAATTAGCAAAACAGATCGCTGTTAAAATTCATGTCAGAATTTTGTCCTTGCTGCTTTTGATTGTGTGCTTTCACAAGTGGAGCCTGCTTTTGATTGTTTATCTGAGCTAGCAAGACTGGAGTGTGTCCCTTGCCAATAGAGGATGCTGCTGATTCAGAAACCGTTCTACTCTTGTGTTTGAGGATACTCTCAACCCCGTCTCCTTTCCAGTGGAAAGGGACGTAAGTGTGACTGATGTGTTACTTTTTTCCTTTGCTTACATGTGTCTGACATACTAATCATTATTTCTGCCAGTATAAATAAGATACTCAACTTCACAGACTGGACACTATATACCATTTAAACATTTAATGGTCTATTGTGTGATGCAAAAATCTGTACTGGCATATACAGGTAAGTATTTGGGGACCTTGAAATACAGATTTGCAACCACCAAACCATTCTTCAGTTGCTTCAACTAAACTTACAAGTACTTCATATCTCTGTATTGTTTTTGTTGGGTTTTTTTCATTGTTTTTCTTATTTCTGACTAAGATTTAGGCGTTAGATGACCTTTGTGAGCTGAGCTGCTGTGTTCAGCCAAGTTCCTAGGGAACAAATGACCTTTTAAATTCACACTGGAAGGTCACTGGAAGATCTCAGCAGGTCTGGGACAGCAGTTCTCAAACCTTAGATCAAGGGGGATGAGGGTGTTCTTTTCTGTGGATATTTGGTCTTCCCACACTTCCCTGTGCGCTCTTCCTACCACATGCTGTTACGACTTGTTGCATGTAACACTCAATGCTGTTCATTCCCCCACCTCATACTCCCCCAAAGTGTACCTTAAGCCCCAACAGATCCAGCTCTGATCCCAGTTCCAGTATAGTCACCCTCCCACACAAATGAAAAAGATCACTTACTGTATTTCTCTGCAGGGGATGTCTTTCTGTTGTCACCTACTTGGTTCACTGAGTTGTGTTTTGCTGCAGATGTCATTCATGCTTCTCCCCACCACTTGCTCTAGTCATTGTGGCCTCTACCAGCACAAAGATCCTTCAGCAAAACTGTTTAACTTCCCTTGCAGCCTGGGCTGCCTTTGTCTTGCTGGAAAACCTGAAGCTCCTTTAGAAATGCAAGTACTGTACTGATAGAAATGTATGTATATTCATTTGTCTCTGCTTGATTTAATGGTGCTGATAAGCTGTGGTAGGTGGGTGAGGACAAAGGAGGGATAGTGCCTCTGGCCATCCCCTTAACTGGTTGCCACCACATACTAAGAATATACCCAATCTTCAGCCACAGCCTTCAATCCTGTGCGGCACTGCACCTGCCCTGCCATCTGTGCCATACTGCAACCAGGGACATAACTTCTACGCATGGAAAGAAATGGGAGGAGGGGAGGGCACTGGTCTGTCAGGGCTGTGCCTGGGCAGCTTTCCTCCCTTGATGTATTCTGCACTGCTTTTTTTCTCTAACTTCCCTATGTCCTGTTTCCAGAAACTACCCGTGGAGTCTGAGAGCATCAGGCTGCAGATGCTGCATATATACGTGGTTGTAAAAAAAATACCAAGGTTGTTTGGCCTTGCTGGTCTCAGTCTGGAGGAGAAAGCTGTAAGGAATGCAGCTGTGAAAGAGTGTAGTCTTCAGGGTCATCTTAGGAGCTCAGAAATATTTCTGTTGAGTTGGTGGCTCCTTAGAAACTCAAGCACACAGGGTTTTATAAGATATTTTCACTTACTGCGTTCAAAGCCATTGCATGCCAAGACTAAATACAGAATGTTGGTAGTTCCTAAGACTACAAATGAAAAAAAAAAAAAAAAAAAAAAAGAAAAAAGATGTTTCCATGGCCCTCTCATCAGGGGAAGCTATCAGGATGTGTGATTGGCATGCAGATGTGCCTGGCTGAAACATCCTGCAGTACAGTGCAAATACAGTGCAATTCTGTGATTGTAGTATTTAGGCTATAGGCTCTTTGTGGTCAGATTTTTTGTGGTCTGCTGATTCCTGACCCAGGCTTGAGATTCCTGAACACTGCTGTGGTAATTATAATAAAGACTGACTAACTGGCAAGGTCAAGTAAAGTTTTGATTATTCTGCACACGATTCAATTTTGTACGCTTTTTTGTTTCTTGGTACTCCAATTCCTTTGTGGTGATGTCAGCCAGTAAACTTGATAGTTGGTCAGTTTAAAAGACTTCTCTGTAGACTGAAGAACTTTAAAATTTGTTGACATACAGAGTTTATTAGGTTAGAACTAATTAATGCAACTAGCAATTGAAGAAAATTATAAATACCTGCATTGATAAGAACAGAAAGGTGTCCTTGAATGCACTGTTGTCTACTTCCCCCTCCCCCACCTGGACTCTGCAAAGGAATGATGTGGTCACCAGCACCAGTGACATTAGAGGAGGCATAATATAAATAATATTGAACAGCTGTCAAGGCACACTAGTCAGTTGGTTAAGATTCAAAGGAGGTAAAACTGAAGTCTTCATGCATTTAAAAAGCAAACTAAAGCAAGAAAATGTAACTTTTTTACCTTCTCTCTCAATTTAGGAGTGCTTCCTTAGCAGTGATTTTTTTTTTTTTTATCTTTATCAATATAGCTGCAGAAAATTGTATGCTTATTATTTTTTTTCCCCTTTTTCTGACAGAGAGCATTAGAATTAGCTTTAGTGTTCTCCTGATATGCCCAAAGCTGAATTAGCAGCATGTGTCTTGGCCCATTATATAGCAGCAGTCTTTTGATACAGTGTTGGATTCCTTTGTTCTCCCATTGTCAGCAATCTGACATTTCCTTCTGTCATTGACAAAAATGTATTTTAGTGTCTTTATAGATACTGATCTGTGTCCAAATGCCTAGAGTTATAAAGGATTATCCTATTCCTAGAAGGTAATCGTGCAGGAACATCTGTGATTTTTTTTTTTTTTTTTAATATTATTATTCTTCTTTTATGTAAACTTAGTATTACAATAAAGTAAAAGAATATGAGGGAAATGGAAGCCTTGGGAGGATTTTGCCAAGCTGGGAAGTCATCAGTGATATGATATTATATATGTATTGAGCTTGAATCAAGAGCTCTGAGGAGCTGCAATGCATTTTAGAGTAACTAGTGATTTTCCTGCCATTGGTGTCTGTTACTCTTTATTTTTTATTCTTCAAATCTGATTGAGAACATGTATTTGGTTCTGAACACCTGGATTATGTTGTGTAATGTAATTTTTTTTTGGTCATTAAGATCAATGATAAAATTTCTATTTACTTTAGTGGTACAAGGTTAAGGTTGCAGAAATTTAGCACTTCAAAAGAACAAGGAAAGTGGCAGTGTTGTTCAGTCCCTTTCTCGAAAGGAGAGCACAATGAAAGAATTATTAGATTTATATGTATAACTGAAAAAGAACATTTGTTTTAGGTAGTTGTACCATTGTACAAGGTGGCTGATTAAAGACCTGAAGGTTGTAGGGTTGGTAATAAAAACGTAAGAATCGGATTAGTTCTGGGTTACAGATTTAGTCGGTCAGGACTGCCATTTCAGTGCGGTGATGAGTTCATTTCTGCACACAGCAGGCCATTCTCCAAACAGCAGAATTCACGACTGCAAATAGCTTCTAAGTTAAAAGGCTCTTGGTACAATTTGCAGCAGAGGGCAAGGGAACCACAAGGAGCTATTATCTCATTCTCTAGAAGAGCTTTTCTTAGAACATTTCTGCACCACAGAATCTATATTTGCTCTTTCCATAGTTCAGGACTGTATCAAGTCCAGTGTTAACCTGTTCAAAAAGTAATGTTTTAGTACCGAGGAATGTCTTTTTTTTGCTTTAGTATTGGGGACTTGATACTTGTCAAAATATAGACATAAAAGGAAAAGCAGAGAATTGCGTTTAAACAAGCATAAAGCAGACATATATAAATATGTTCAGAATCAAGCTTGAAATTACTGCAGCGGTAAGGTATGCAAATTCTCTGAGGCTGTTACAGTTGGAGTGCAGACTTGAAGCATGCTTGACTCTCACAAGGAAGTCAGTTCTACAGTTTACCTGATCCATTTGTGATTGAATTGAACGTATTGAGAGCTTCCATTTTTAATATTAATAAATGATCTCTGCAAGTCTAAATGTGTGTAGTTGTATTAGGAGATGCTGATGAAGTTGTGAGTAAAATGTTGGATGTAACATTTAGAGACAAGTCTACCATTTCATGTTCTGCAACTGGCTTTAGTGAAGAGCTATTTCTAGCTGAAGTCCTTCCTTTGACTTTTGCTTACTTAGGTATTTCCACTTGATGATGAACTGACTGGCACTTGATGCAAGCACTTGTGACATATTATGTCTGAGCCAAAATCACTTGTCCTTTCTCTCGTGCACTCTGTGCAGGTTTCGTGTGCCCATGCATAAACTACCAAAAGTTTGTAGATTCCTGTTAAAGCTAGACAATGACAACTGACATCCTGTGAATATTATACTATTTCCTATGTCACTTTCTGTAAATTTTCTTTATTCTTCTTAAAAAAAAAAAAAAAAAAAAAAGTCAGTACCTGATTGCGAGTGGGGAAGAATGACCATTATTTTGTACAAAGTGCAGTTTAATGACTATACAGACAGATTCTTGACTTCTACCATATAAGTGTGTGTCTAGAAAATACATCCTTATTAACAGAGGTATTTTTAGTAATTTGGAGACTTGTGTAATCGCAGTTTGCATTGTCTCTCATTGATAGGTTGTATGTCATAACTCTGACCAGCAATGGTTGTGTCCTTGCCCAAATGTAGGCCATCAAATTAATTGAAATTAGTTAGTGGAGGGAATGCCTGGATTTATGTGAGGCAAGCACTGGAGACCAAATATATTAAAAATGTGAAGTTGTTAACTGGAAGTTGTATGTAGCTGGGTAGTTCCAAATTTGTTCTGCCATCAGATGCTTTTTTTAGATTATGGAAATTTATTTATCCAGTAAATCCTGTTTCAAATAGAAGTAGTTATGCAGAATGGGAAACTGTATCTTACAAATACTATGTAAGTAGCTGTTCTAAATTAATGCTTGTTGCATGATTGTCAGGGTTGATTCTAGTAAGAGGAAATGATGTCTATAACAATAACTAGAATATCTCAAAATTACATTATGGATAAAACAAATAGCGTCCAGTGGATGTTTGTGCTTTCCTTTTGGCATTGCTTTCACAGAATTGAGGTCATTAATTCTCTCTCTGGGGATCCTGTATCGCAATATGAAATGGAATAAGTATGTTTGCAAAGCAAAGATTTAAAAACCTCAACTTCTCATCCTTCTGGAAATTTAAGAAAGAGGAGTAACCGAAGGTGGGATTAGAAGACCATAGCTCATCTTCTCACCACCTTTACAAACACCAAACAGATGTGTTGTTTCAAGTTATCATAAAGTACAGAGAAGTATGGGGTACTAAAGATGTGCTCAACATAGGTTTGATGATATGCAAGGGATAGTTACTATTTGTGTCATCTTAAAACACTCAGAAAAGAATTGAATGGGAGCAAAATATCTTATGCTGGTCACCAGTGGAAGAGTTTGTGTTGTGCAATGCTAAAAATTTGGTGGGTTTTTGCAGTTCAAATAACAAAATCAATTTGTGAATGTTTGTTTTGTACCTTCTTGTTCATTCTTTCTGTTACATTTTTCTTTGATATTAAGGCTTTCCTGAAAAGACTGGAAGCAGTGAAACCAACAGCTGGTATGAGGCGTTCTGAACAACTGATGGACTATCAGCGCCAGATGAGTTATCTAAGTTCTTCACCATCCGTAAGAAGAGGAAAATCTGCTTTCAGCCAGCTTAGTCCTTCAAGTAAGTACTTTGAAGATGCAGATTCTTGCATTTCTTCGCATGTGTTTTTATAATTCAGAATTGTAAAGCACTTACTGCTGAGAATAGCAAATGAGTTCCTTTCTCTGTCTTCCTTAGATTGATCGTGTATCACACAAGTCATTAAAGTAATTTCTTTAATCATACCAAAAGTATGATGACTGTATGAATTATTTACTTACCATCTAAATTTGTAATAAATTATCTTGTTAATGATCTTCTCCAAGAAGGTCAAAAAAATCCCTGTTGTAAAGAAATATTTCTCATTTTGTCAGTACCCCTTATTGAAAGGAAGAGAGAAGGGAAAAAAAAAAAAAAAACCACAAAAACCCCAAAGAAGGTTCAAACTCTCATTCAGAAAGTGTTAATCTACTGATAGTGGCCATGTTTCTCTTAGAAATTGTATGTGTAATATTTGGAAGTAGATCATGTGTCCCCATAGATCTATACATGTCAGGTTAAAGAACTGCAACACTGTGGCATAGACTTGAATTCTTTGTCTTGACTGTTTACAAACAACTCATAGCATTTTGGGTTTGTATTCAACTTACTGTGATTTGTTTTTTATCATGAAACTGTGGTAATGAGTGTTGCGGTACTAATAGAGCATGAAGTTTTCTGTTGTACTGGGCATAAGCATTCTCACTCTTTTTTTTCTGTGTGTGTGTTGACAGGAGGCACCTCAAGAGCATCCACTGTACCAAGTACAATGAGCCAGAGGAACGAAAAACCCGTGTCTGATTCAGCCAGTGGGGCATTACAGAGACCTAAACCCAGTAACATTCGTGCTGCTTGGTTATAAGTGCGTTCTTTGCCTTGCATTCTGAGATGCTCCTCAGACTTCTGTTTTTAGTGCTTTTGTAAATTCTATGTGCAAAAGTATTTTCTGCATTGTTCAGTGATTAAAATGCATTGCGTATTACGTAATTGCTTATAAGATGGTTTTAAGTGAACACTTTAACCTCAGTCATCGTTTTCCATGACAAGAACAACTTATAAAAGAGGAGGAAATACTTAAACGGAGAAGCTAGACAGAAATTGCTAATTATTATTTTATTCTCAAATTGTAAGTGGAATTTATATCTATAACATGGAAGGGCAGAAGTGCTGCATTGTAGGTGCAAGATATAAAGAAAATCTTTAAAATAATATTTTTAAATATTGCATTAAACTCAAAAGCATATGGCTAATTCCTAGATCATCCTTGTTTTTCATCCCCGTTTTAGGTAAGCCTTCTGAACTTTGTGGGTCATGGTCTTATGACTGAAAGAATCTTCTTTTTACAGCATCATGAAGAGGTGAAAAGCAGATTATGTATTCCTGCGTGGTTAAATAGAATACTGAGGCTGCAGAAGGTGGTGTTCTGTGACTCTTGCTCTCCAGGTGTTGAATGTTTGTTTTGTACTCAAGGCTGCGTGTCTTCCGGATTTCAAAGAACTTTGGAAGTTGTATTGGGACCTTTGTGTAGGAAAGAGACATCCGATGCTATTTGAACAAGAGTAAAGACTGAAGTGAACAACAGTTTCAGATTCACTCTAAACAAGTTTTAGTTATTTCTCAGGCTAGAGAATACAAAGAAAGAAATATTTCATGGCCCTGCTTTTGCAGATCCTTGTCTTTCTTGTTAGGGAGATATAAACTTGAGCTGCAGGAAACTTGGAACATCTGATTTTGAGAGAGACTACTAACTAGGATTTAAAAAAAAAATACGTAGAACACAGAAGACCTTGTTATGCTTCGTAACCTGTTTTTTAATGTCATGTTCATACCAAATATTCGTAGTAGTGTCAGGTAAGCTTCAGTAGCAACATCCATTTACAAAAGGAGCAAAATTGAATGGAATTGGTAATCAGAAATGGTAAGTGGTACCCTTTATTTCTGTACATAAAGGCAAACTTACAGTAAGCTTATTTTGTAGGACTATAGTCTTATAAAGAGCATAAATTGTGATGCCACTATCCATGGATATTGCTGGAACCCTGCTTGCTTCCCCAGCTTCTTCTTCCCAGGAGAGATACAGGAGATCTCTTTGTATTATACATAAAATAAAAAAAAAAAAGCTGTATTCAGTAATGCTGGGTCTTAGCCCTGTGAAAAGGAAAGTTTATTATTCTTTGCTCGTGCTTGCATGAGTGCTTAGGCTTTCAGGTATTCTGCATTGTAACAAACTTTTTACTTGGTCCTGTGTGATAGTTTGGCAGAGCTTCTGCACCTGGTGAACAGCGGATCAAATTTAGTTGCTTGACAACATTTGGACTTCTAACTTTAAGCAGCATTGTGGCAAACAGATTTTTATTGCAATTACTATTAATTGATAGGGACTGTAAGGAATTTCTGCATAGTGCTGCTGTATTTATTTGTACTATTGTGCTAATTAAAATTACTCACTATTTAAAGATTATTTTTTTTTTGTCCTTGAATGTGAATATCAGGGTCACAGTTTAAATACTTTTGAATGTTCATATGATAATTTTTTCCTGTGAAGGAATTCACAAAATGGATTACTTTTAATCACTTCATCTTATTTTATTTAACTTCGGTATGAAAGACTGTCAATTTTGTATGTCATTTTTGTAAATCATAAGAAATAAAATATTTAACATGATGTGTTTGTCGTTGCAGTGGCTTCTCTCAGAACTTCATAATTGGTATTAAAGTGCAAAGAAATTCATGGGAGGAGTGTTTTGTGCTATGTGTAGTGGAGAAAAATTGCAAAGAGTCTGATACACTTGACCTGTTAGTGACTTCGGTGTGTTTTTTTAAAATAAGCCATATCGAAAGGTCTTCATTAAATTAGATAATCCCATCAAGATTTTCATAACAAAAAAATCCTGTTTCTAATAGACTTGTTTTCTGTCTCTTGTAAGATGCCACTTTATGGTCTCTTCTACTGCCCCCCGCCCCCCAGAAGATCTATTTGAAAGAAAGGTACAAGCTGTTTTGCTTCTTCATTCAAGTGAACTGCCACACTGTTTTGCCACAGTTTCAGGTAGGAGCTTGTCTCTCTGCTGAAGTGACAGGATTGCCAGTTTGGGTGACAGCACTGGTGTCTTGATCTCACTACTATGAGAAATGGCTCGTGGTGCTTCTGTCATGTTTTTGCTCTGGAATTGACCCTGCCTCACTGTGGGCTTTGTTTCTTCCAGGATAGGGTTCTGCTGTCTTTCTACAATACTGAAGGTCTTAAGGAAGGCCCTAGCTCAGATCACTGACTATCTGAGAACAGGAAGCAATGATGTATCCCTGTCTGCATAGGTGACACGTGAAATGCATTTTTCCAAGCAGGCCACTGAATCCTTTTAGAACTCACTTTTAATCCCAGCGAATCTGAGACTTGAGCTAATTTGGAAGAATCACACAAGGCCATTCCTCATATGGAATGTATAAGCTTTCCCCTGTGCCAGAGCCTGTCTTCTATCAGATTGCTTGCAGTCTTTACTGAAGATCCTGAGGCATCTCTGCTGTCATCCTGCCAGTCAGATGAGGGTTTATCTGATTGTCCTAAATCCAATGACTGTCTGGATTTAGGTGTCTTCTGTGATGTATGTAGACTTCATGTTGGACTGTATTTTCCTGATTGATCATTATCTGATGAGTTTCAGAATAAATGCCTGCAAAAAGCCTGAGATGCTTCCTTCTAACAGGTCACCCGTAACTTTTCATCCCAGTGCTTTTCCTTGTTATCCATGGTCAATAGACAAAAATAACCTCCCACCTTCACAACCTCAGTAGCTCATTGAGTCACCTGGTAAGTGAGAGCTTGTGCTTTTTCCCTGGAGCACAGTCTGCACATCAGGGTGGAGATTAGGGCAGTGAGGTCACTTATATCAAGCCTTCTAGCTGTGCAGCCATGACTATCATATGCAGGCAGTAATGAGTATTTCCACTGTGATATATCAACAAGAAAATGGTGGAGGGGGAAAGGCTCCTCCTGCATCGAGGTGGTATCTCTTATGAGCCCAGTACACTGGGCATCAGGCTTAATCTTTGTGGTATTCACCTGCTCAGACTTGAGAAAAATAGTGGATGAACCATGTCAATTTTTCCTGATGAATGTGAAACATATAAGCAAAAGCTGCATCTGGAGCCATCTTTCAGGACTAAAACTAAGCTGAGGTCATACTGTTTCAGATAGCAGGGATTGGCAGTGCCTGTTTGTCTTCAAGATGCATGGTTCCAATACCTTGGTCAAGAAAGCTGCTGTCTCCTGGTAACTCCTGGCCACAAGACAGAATTTGGCAACATTGATCCTTGTAGCAGTCACTTCTGGTTCTAGGACTGTAGAGTCCTAAAATGCTGTTCTCTGTGATTTTTGTTCTAGGCTCTGACTATGTACAAAAATCATAGTTCTCTCCACTATATTATATGTGGTCAGAGCTTGGAACAAAAATGACAAGTTTCAGTTCTCTCCACACAGTGGTTCTTAGGACCAGAACATGCTATTGAGAGATTTTGCTGGTTTAAAGTGAGAGGGACTTCGCGGGGGGGAACACAGGTGGCTGAGATTTGCCACCTGGGGAATGCTGCTGCTTTCCCTGGCATCCTAGGCTGGCTGGTGGTACTCTGCATCTCCAGCTGGGATTCTCCAGTAATCATTAAACTATGGCATCCCTGCAGATGGAGTGTTCTGGCTTTTGAACAATTTCGCAAGGTTTTTTCCTTCTGCTATGCTTCTCACCATGTCTTAAACTCTCCCCTGTGGCTTTTAGAGAACAGATGGCTGCTCCTATGCTGAGTGTAGGGCAAAGAGTGGAGGCTGTCACCTTCAGAAAGGTGTAGGGAAGGCTCAGTCTGCTGTCACAGATTCTCCGTCTCCTACTCTCTGCAGTAGGCTGTACTCTTTAGAGACAGGATTATCTTTCAGACCCACACAAACCTCCTAACTTCTCCTCATCCAGAAGATCAGTGTATCTCAGTTCCCTCCCCAGGTGGTGTCTTTTCAGAGCTGGGTAGTACAGTATATGCTGGATGGTAGGTGGGCTTTGTCTGTCTATGTTTGTAGGATATATTACCAGGCTATTCAGAGCAGGTTTCCCAGTGTTCAGGTGTGAGATGTAAGGGAATAATGGTCTTGACGCTGCTTTTCCCTGCATAGTTGCAGAAGTGCAAAGGAATGGGAGCAGTGGCATCAATTGTTTGTGACATCTGAGGTTCATCCGACTGGAGTTCAAGTAGCAATTAGAGATTATCTGCAATTCTGCAAAGTCTTCTATTTTCCAACTTTGCAGAGCTGACAGCTGCAGTTCAGGTTACACTTTCAGCAAGTGTTACACCAAGCGCCACAGACTCAGTGCAGAGCTGCTGTCAGGTGAAGGGATAGTTCAGTGACAGTTCTGAAGTCTGACCCCAAGTATCTTTATGGAGAGTACTGCCTGGAATCTGCCACAGGGTCTGCGTGTGCATAAGCAAGCATTCAGGCAGAAATAAGGAGTCATCTACCTGTAAGTGTTTTCTGTCTGCATTGTCTTCCCACAGTGGAATTTTCCTGCATTGATATTCCTTGCTATTATTAATAGCCTTTACTTGCCCTTTGTTTTGCCTTTTTTTTTTTTTTTTCTGGAATATAATAACAACTTTTGATTACACTCAGCTGAGGCTTGCTTCCTCTTAATTCTCTTACTGCTCATTCATACATAACACTTCCCCCTAAGGTTTAGTACCTCTGGCTATTAACAATATGTCATTGTCTCCAGTATCTTTGTAGCAAACTCAGATCTTCTCTAAAACATCCAAATGCCACCTGCAACCTTATCAGCGAGGTAAATGTGAAATGAATAGTCACAGTAGGTTAGCAGGCTTCTCAAAGCACCATTAGGAATGTGTGGACGATGGAGAAAAGGAATAAGAGCAGAAACATGCAGGTAAAGCTTTTAACAAAGACTACTGAAATAATAAGCACTTTGAAAAACAGTAGAAAGATTTTCTTTACAAACTTATGTTTCAATAGGTTGCAACCCTGGTTATTTACTACTGGGAAAAAAACAGACCCAGTATCTAGAAAAGCAAGTGTGACCATGAAAGAAGGGAGATAAAAGGGAGATAAAACCATCAGGACCAGATTGAGACCATCTTCCTCAGACAAAATAATTTATGCAATTTAAAAATAGACTATCATTTTTGGAACAGTTTTTTTCCCAAATGCTTCAGTTCTTCAGGTAGATAGATGTTGCTTCCAGATACTGTTTAGTAACCTGTACCTGTCTTCAGGGAGAATGGAGCCAGTGGTCTGAATCTGTAGCAGACACGCACAGCCCATAATGCTAAACGAGAGAGCTAGGGCTACCTGTATCTAACAGTAAATTACTTTCAAATATAGGAAAGGGATAACTGGAAAGCCGTATGTATAAAGTAGTCAAAAATGCAGCTAAAATAAAAGCTTATTTGGGTATTACCCCTTTTCCTAGGTGGGTATGTAGCAAACAGTTGTTTAGATATAGTCTAACTGAACCACTGAAAGAGATACAACTCACTTTCCCCCCTTTGCCTAATTAGAGCCTATTCTTCACCAAGTTCACAACTGTGCAGTATCTCAAGTTTAAAAACTATGTATTAAGCATCTTCTGATCTCACTAGTAATTAATAGTTCAAGAATGGTACAGTTGGAAGTATAGTGAAAATTCAGAAGCATTCCATTCTAGAATACATTTTCAAGTAAAGTAAGCAGCACTGACTTTTACTTCAAAGGGTAATACAAATGAATTGTCAAAGCAGCTAAGAGCATTGGGTAGTTGATCTGTAAGACAAGCAGCTGCAGCACCCTCTAGCTAAATCGATTTGGTTTTGCTATTGTAGAATTATCAATAACCATTCCAACTACCTAAAGGTCTGTTGAAAAAATTTTCAAGAGGCTTAGGCAATACCAGACAATCACTAATATCACGCTAATTAGCACATCACCTTAAAGGAATTGTACTTGTAATGTGGTCAGTGTACTGAAAACAAGAAAAAGTTCATTAATATATTAATTTATTTAATGATTTCCATTTTAGTTCAATTGAACATCAGAGCAGACAACTTTTTGCTTTAAGATACAGGGAATTTTTGAA